GATTATCATTAACTCAATTGCAATCATGAACGTAAAATGTAGAGAGTTAGAATGGAATCTAGGACTCAGTAAAATCAAGCTCCAATTGAACCTCTGACTGATGTTACAACCACATACCAGGGGTAATTCCTTACATGCCACACTGATACCCCAGAAGCTGAAGGCCAGTGACATTCCACAATAAATAATTTACATTCCACATTCTGTGTTAACAGTGAACTCACAGCTATACAAAAGAAATAAAATGTGGCAATTATACAGATGGTTTAGCTAAATGTTCATCCTCTAGCCACAAAAATCTTTCTTTTAATATAAATCAAATTAGATTGTTTAAAAAATTAGTTTTTTTGTCAGTATAGATTTTCTTGTCTTATTGCTTAAGAGTCGTTTGGCAAATGACAATAACATAATAGCATTAGGCAGGTGATGTTAGACTCATTTGTTTAGAGTTACTTTGTACTTCTCAATGTCTATCTCTCTCTCTCTCACAAGCACACGCACACACACACACACACACACACACACATTTTGGCACTGCTTTTTTTAAACATAAATTCTGAGCATAGAAGATAGCATAACTATGACAAATCATTAGAATGTCACCCACATTGAGTCCTGTCCTTTGCCTTAAAAATCCTCCCCTGATTTGGCTTTACTATGCTTGCCCAACCTCAATCTTAGATCCTCACATTTTTCTCAAGAGTTTAGGCCACTTAATGTGAAAAAAAAAATCAATTACATTCAAATTACAAATGCTACCCTTTATTATATCAATTTGGCTAACATTTTTGTATTAGCTTTCTTTGCTAATTTTGTATACATCATCACATATATAGACAATATGTAGTATTAATAACTTAAAAAAACTGGCAGTATATGTAAGATCAAATAAACACAGACTAATAAAATAAATTGGCTCATATATTAATTATCATAAAAATTCAACCTGTTTCCAGCCATCTCTGACCAGAAAGAATTAAGAGTCAGTCGAGGCTTTAATCAACTTTAATTAAATTAGATTGATTGTAAATAAACCTTCAAATTGTGTTAAAAAACAATTAAGGTAATTAAAACAGTTTGTAAGTCAATAGATATGAACTTAACATTGAAAATTTGAAGGTTAATATTTATAAATAATAGTTACAATTTTTTTAAATTTTTAAATTGTTTGGCCTCTTGAAGATTATTTAACTCCTTTTAATGTCCTTTAGATTTTGTATTTAAATATAAATGCTAATACCCCATCAACATTTGCATTTCTGGGAGCTTATAGGTCATATCACAAATACTGCTCATCTCTTGTATAAGTATCCTTTTTCCATGAGAATAATTACCTTGGCCTGCTCATGTCCCATATAGTAAATGTAATTGTGCATGAACTTAAAATAATTTAAAACATTTTCAGAGGGCAAAGTGAGAAGACAGGGGTCATCACGTGAATGTCATTTCTTCCTGTAATTCATATTCATCTGACTTCAACTGCCTTGCAGCAGCTTCATGGCAAAGAAGAAAGATTGCCAGGTCCATCTGACAATTGCTGATATAATAATCTGCTCACTGCCTTCACAAGCCTATTTTTATTCCTTAACATTTCCTCCYTGATTTTGGTCTATAGTTAGGGTTAACTGATCTTGGAATACTGCTTTAAAGGAGAAACTGAACTGTGAATCAGTATCATAATTTAGGCTTGACCTGTGCAACTCTGCTTTCTTAAAAAGATTTAATTTCCATACTTTAAAATTATGGAAAAAAATAATTTAGAATAGGCACCTTGGTGTATTTTATTGAAATGGACATTAAAAAATATAATGTGATTAATTTTTAAGGAAGTTAAATTGTTCAAAATGCACATTACATATTACATTGCACACTATGAATTTCTTCTTCTTCTTTTTTTTTTTGGTGCCATTGTATGGCTAATTGGAAAACATTATTATTATTTTTTTTACTCCCTGCACTATTGTCTGAATTTGATGTTATTAAGCCATTGCTTCCCAAGGTTTTGATATGAGGAAATCACTTCTTGCATCTATATTTAGTAATASGTTGTAGCATAAATTCTTTTCATGTCATGATTTCATGTTCTGTTCATTCACACTGTATCTATATTCATGATGTTTCTTTATATGAAATAATTTAATAAGCAGCTTGGTAAATATTTAACAACTGGAGATCCAGAAAAAGAGAAATGGCTTGCTCCCTGACACAGTTGTCTAAACATTCCCACCATGGCTGACATCAGCCTACCAAAATAATACCACTGGAAGTGGACTTGGAGAGAGATGCACATAATTCTGTCTTGGGAGTTGATTCTCACTATTTCCAGTACAATGCTGAATTTAAATGACTAAATAATGGATGTTTACTGAAAAGATTATTGGAAAATCTCTTAATTACTTTTATGATTGATGTCATCAATCAAGTGATCCAGTCTTTCTTTTTAACACAAAGCTTCTCTTTCAAATATTATGTTAGATAATCATATGTAGTATTATATTTCAGAAGAAAAAAGAAAGCTAAACAAATGCACCACACCACTCCAATTAACCTTAGAGTTCTTCATATAAATTTACCTATATGAAGGACTTTTCTTTCAGCTACCTCAAGAGCAATTCCTAAAAATAATATTAAACTAACTTCAATACTGTATATATTATATATATTATATATAATATATATATATATTATATATATGTATATATATACACACATATATAAAATACTTGCATATATGTAATAGTTTTCAACCATCATTTCCATTTGAACTTTTCCCAATCTGTAACTGGTAAATGCAAAAAAAAAGGTAAAATATGTATATTTTAAAAGGAGAGAAGGCAAAGTGCATGATGTTATATTCCTCTTCTAAAATGTATACAAACCTTCATTTAGTGAGAAGTGGAACAAGCAGCAGTTTTGACATCATAATCCAAATGTACAATAAACTATTTTTTTCTTCTTGCAAACAACAAGGGGATTGTTACAAAACTMTTTTCTCATCACTTTGCTGATTTAACATATGTATAATTCCTGGACTACACTCTGATTTTATTGGATTGGATAAATGTACCATTTTTTTTATTTGAAAACTTCACACATGTAAATAAAGGTTATCAGCAGTGTCTTTAACTCTGTTATGGATCTGTTTTATATATATAGGCATATTAATACAGCAAGAAGCTTATCTATCTAGTGAATAAACAATATCTAAAAACTTTTACTCAAATTAAAGGACTGTTTACATATAATCAAATTTATTGAATAATTTATTTTTATGAAGCTGAAGGCCACTTTCACAAACGTCATTTCTAAATGTGGACTGCAAGTTTACAGAATCCTACATAGTTTCTTTTTGTGTAATCAACATAGTAATATTCAGGGTTCCAGTGTCTGCTTTTTAGAAAGAAGCACTTTTAGRACACAATTTCCTACAYAGTGTTCACTACCTGTAGATTTATTAGGAAGTGGACAATGGATTATTTTTCAAATGAGAAGGTAARAAAAAATAAATAAATCCATTCTCACTTGGTTATATGCACATTAAACTAGTATTAATCTAGGAAAAATAAGTAGAAATATTATTTTGGTTAAAAAATTCTTCTTATTTTGAGACATTTATCTCAAACTTAAACGCTTGTGGTTACTTGCAATTGCCCTCTTCACTTTGGCACATCTAAACCACCAGAGAAATGATATATCATTTAGTTCTTAAGGGACACATATGCATCATAATTTAAAGATGGACTTGAAATTGATAGCACTATATTGTTTAAAATATATTTAAAAATTCAGTCTTTTACTCAAAATGTTACAGCAACACAGGTTGAGAAACTGATTCTTGAAAGTCTTTGGAGCATATAGAACTCATGACCTTAGAAAATACATCTTGCATCAAAGAAAATCTTCATTCTCTCTGAAGTCTGTCTAAAATACAATATGTTGTTTTGTTGTTTTGTTTTGTACATTCTAATGGCTYAGAAGAACAATTTGTATGAACTTTTGCTGTGCTCCTCTTTGAGATGTGAACTGGAACAGGGCTCAATTGCTATACTATTAATTCTCCATTTCTATGCTTCATCTCTTGTAGCTCAGACTGGAGAAAAACCAGTATGTTCTGATGAGTTTAATACTACGAGGCAGTAAAGATGAACCTGAATTTAGTGGAGATTGGTGCTCCAAAATAAACATAACACCATGTGTCAAATAAAAAACAAAAGGTATTCTCCTGTACAAATCAGAAGAGATAATAAAAATCAACGAATAGACAGCAACTTTTTTAAAAATCATACCTACATAAGCATCTCAAAACAATTGCAAACTTGAAGAATTACCTACCTTATTCTTATCTGAAACACTTCACAATTTATTGACTCAACCATGGTTTATGTTGCCTTATGTCAAATTTTAGTGGCTATTATTTGAGGGTTTTCATTTGATAAGGATATTCTGAGAATTTGTATATTGCTAAATAAAATATTTTTTTGCTAACCAACAGCAATAAAATTCTCTTGAATTCTATCTTATAGCAAGCTAGAAATCATCGCTGTGAATTAAATTTGTCCCAGGTTTTGATAMGCAAGGATTTCCAGGATTTCTCAATGGCATGTCACCATCTACTCCTCTCACTGGCAGTACCATGAAGGTACACGCAGGACATTGCTGGCTCACTGACAACACGGGCCACCACTTACTCATAGAGGTTAGGTGCCTCTGCAGGTATATGASAGTTGCTATCTATTTCACAAACCACTGAGCATTTCTTTTTATCAAAAAAAAAAAAAAAAAGAAAAGAAAAGAAAACCTTCAAATGCTCAGAGTCTGTGGTCAGTGCAGTCCCTTGGATAAGTCTAAGGAAGATATGCTTCACCAAGGCGGAAATCTAAGCAATTAAAAATGGAGAAATATTTACAACCAGTTTTTTCTCCAGCTAGTGGAGTTCTTGCTTTCTGAATGTAGTGGTTTTGTTCTTTTTCTTCAGTACATTTCAAGTAAAGGTTCCAAGGCTATGAGTACAAACTCTCTTGGCCAGTTCCATACATGTCCGCCAGGCGTTTAAAGCGAGGTCCCCAGTCACTTAGGTAGTCATAATTCTGATCAGAGTTTGAGCTGATGGAATCCAAAGAGCTGAGTGACTCAGCGACTGAGCCATTCCCTTCGAAGGCATAGGTCTGCAGAGAATCATAGGGGGGAGCCCCCGGGTCAACATCAGCTTCTTTCAGTCTCTCCCAAATAAATTCCCGAAAAATAACGTTATCTGGGATGCTCTTAAAAGTCGGTCGACTCAAGAACTGGATTTCTGGAGTTACATCCCTACGGGTCTTGGTGTCACGGATGACGTTGAGGTTCCTCAGTGCAGCCATGTCAAAAGCCTCTGTGTCTTCCTCTCCCCCGCCCTCGTCATCGTACCTGACGATGTTTTCTCTAATATCTCTCTCTTCGTCAAAAATCAGGGGCTCTTTTTTCCTCCTTCTCATGGTTACGATAAGAAGGATCAGCACTGCAAGGAGGAGACAGCAAAGTGAGAATTTCAGCCAACTGCACGACTGTCCCTCATCAGGGTGACATCGGGCCGTGATGGTGACACAGATTGCTTGCCTTCMCGGGGAAATGAATTGGCCTCTTACTTACCTGGGAATTCACAGTGGCTGATGTGCTAAAATTGCTAAAATGGCTTTAAAATAGAACACTTTCAGACATCAAGAAGCCCTTTTGCACACCTGTTCAGGATTGATGTCTTGCTCCGGCCTCTAAAGTGTTTGATAGAACAAATTGAAGGGCCAGCTCAGGATAAATACAATAATTTCAAAGCCATGCAACATGAAGGGATTTTTTTTTCTGAACTTGTTAATTGCTGGAAAGGCACAGTGACATTCATAAATGTTTTGTGTCTAATTTAACAACTGTAATTTCAGGAGGAAATGGATTATAGTATTTGGTCAGGTTCTTTGAAGACATGCCTAGTCCTTGTCTATAAAATTCAGCTATTAAACAAAATCCAGCATGTCAGGCCATATACAAAGATTAAAAGCTTCCCTATAATAAATTGAATTCCACTTTCATGTATGAAATTCTGAAGTTGGACTTACTTTGTGCATTATACCTAGAGACAGAATAGAGGTTGTAGATTTTCAGCATCAGCCAAACATGGGTTTAGGAAATAAATTGTCCCTTCGATGTTGAACAGTTTTGTTCTTGTGTAAAAATTCATATTATATTAAATCATGAAGCATGTGGTTGTGCTGGAAAGCAAAGAAAATAACTCCACTGGATGTTCTTTTACCTTAAACAAACTGAATATGGACCATATTTTTCATGGGCATAAAATAATCATGTAAAGCATTCTCTGGCTACAATTGATTAAATACTTCCTGAACTAAGAATATGTTAGGTTTTATGCCTCTTTGAATTAATTTAGAATTAGGTGTAAAAACATGTCCTTGAACTTTTGAATTCAAAAATTACTTTAAAACAGTATTGAATTATATCTTATTATCTAAAAATAAGATATTTTATAACAATTTTTGTTGCATCAGTCTAAGTATTATTTGCAAGGTCTAGAAAGCCCAAAATCTGCACTAAGTAGATTATTATTTGGAGTACATTTTTAAAAGGGGGCTTGAAGATCTAGGGGTGTGGCTCAATGGCATAGAATTTGCCTCTCGCATGTGCAAGGCTCTGGGTTCAAATCCCAAGTGTACTAAATATAAAAACTAATAAAAAGGGTGCTTGGAACATTTGTGCTTAAAGTAGTTTATAAAATTTACACTTTAGCATTAAAAATGCATTTGAAAATAAAAATATAAAACCAAGAAAGACATGCATGCAATCCAGTAAAGCTATATACTGTAACCAGGTAGGAAGCACACTTTAGCCCCCACCTCATCCTCTAGTACAGTCTACATGCACAAGTGAAAAAGCTAAGTACTTTCTAAATTTTCAATAAAATCATTCACATCAACTAAAATCACGTATTTTCCTAAGTGTTTATTTGCTACTTGCTTTTCCAGCAACAGCAATGTGACTGATGAAGTTTTTATTGGAGTTCTTTGGAAATACTTGTAAACAACYACCATTTTTTCAGGTACCACTTTCCTTTCCTTTCCCATTTGACCTTGGACTACTGTTCATAAATTTTGCACTTTGTAGACAGCAGCATACAATTCAGCAATTGAAAAGCATTTCCGAGCTTGAGCTTTAATGCCCGCCTCTTATGACACGTGTGTTTGTTCTCTTCTGGGCTCTATTCACCACATTTGAAGCCTCTGCTTCACAAAAGGGTAGATATACAGTTCAAAAGCTACTACTTGATTATCTTACTGTTCCCAAAAGATGCTCTCACCTACATTCCTACTGTGTGCATTGGCCCTTTTTGTCTACTGAGAATTAGCATTTCTACCACTCCAGGGCCCTGTGGTTCTCAAGGTCTGTAGCAGAATCCTGGAGCACAAGGAGCTTTGGCCTTGGTGTCATGCAGGCCTTGGGTAAAAGCTGAGCTTTGCACATGTCAGCTGGGGCAAGGAACTAAGACTAACTGATCTTAGCAATCTGTCATGGCTAACTTCAATTTTTATGGGGTGGATGAGGGAGAGAAGACGACTTTGAAATAATATTAGCAGAGGAAGCAGAGTTCCAAGTACTTTCCAAGTGTGCAACACGACAGTTCTCATTCTCATCATCTGGCCTGTCAGGAGCATTAATTTAAACGTCCAGGAAAATGGCAGGTGGAAATACTGTGTTTTCATTGAAGGAAAAACAAAGAACAAGCTTAGATAATAGGCAAAGTAGGAGGTGTRACAATCCTGTGGGTAGGCATGTGTACTAAAGGCCAGTGGGAGACAGAAAAGCTGGTGAGGTGGGAAAGGAAGGTGGGCATGCAGGACATGCCATTTGTCCTTGCTACAATTCCCTGGGGTATTTTCCCACTTGCTTGTTTTCTTAGACACAGGAAACAACCTGTCTGTAGTCATGTTGGTCTGTAATTCCTATAACACTATAGAAAGTGTTAGTAATTTCWTAGATGATAATTGACAGACAAAGCCCCCAATGACCACAACCAGAGCACAAATGGAAATTGTCACTCAAAGAAAAACAGGTCAGTAAGTGTTAACACGGATGCAGGAGCAAAATTATTGTTTGAGATTTATATGCCACTGTAGTTTCTGAAACTTTTCAYATGGTCCCCTCAGAATAAATGTAATTACAATAGAAAGAAAGTAAGACTCCGTGAGAATCTCTGGTGAGAAACCAGGGTGAAGCAGGGGAGCGAGAGGGGAGTGTCAGCRGAGGCAGAGCTGAGTGGAGAGGGGAGGCAGGTGAGAATGAGAACCGTGCTGCACAACCAGACAGCAAAACTGTGGGTGAATGTGGTAGCTAAAGGGTGAAAGAGTGGCTGAGCCTAAGCCCGAGGCAGTGCACAGAGAGGATAAGAGTCCTGGGACAAGGGACGCTCTTTAAATGTAGACCCACATCCAAACAGGCAGAAATTCCAAAATTCTCTGTCCTTTAATATTGTTACAGTGACTCTTGTCATCATATGTATTCATCCATTATTCACGTCTTGTCTATACGAATAAACTTGCCCACTGCCACTCAACTGTAGCTGGAGAGAAGCCCAAGATCAGCCATGGGGGCATCAGCCATTGTGCAGGATGCCCCAAGATGTTAAGACTTTACAACATTTTCCTTATTCCCCATCTGACTGGAAGCTAAGAACAAATGTGAACTGTTTGGGAAGGTTAGATAATTAAACATGTCAATGACTTTGGAGAATATTAATTTCTAACTACTTGAGCACATATAAAAATAAAATTTAACTTTTATAAAGAACAAGTATTAACTGCTTTTCAGGGACTATGGAGATAATCCCTGTATTAAGAAGAATATTTTCTGCCTATGTAAGCACAAGATTATACATGTTAAGAGTTTTGTTTTATCAGTAATCTTTTTTTTTTTTTTATGTTATGGACCACATTTCTGAGTGGAGACAGAAGAAAAGATTTAAGTCTAGCTTAAATCTAGCCATGTGAAACATATTGTGTTGGATGTTCATGAATTGATACTTCCATTTAAATGAACTGAATTAAACCAYTTATAATAATCACTAAAAATAATGACATAATGTTGCATGCAAAATCAGATGTAATACATCTCCTAGTGACCTTTACAGTTCAATTGGTTAAACAGTAATCAAATAATAAGAATAAACTTTAGAACTGTGATAATTATTTGAAAACAAGAAAATATGATCTTATAGTAAATGAATAAATAAATAAATAAAACACAAACAAGGCACTGTTTTTACAGATATACAGAAGGCTCCTGACATTAAGTTGAATATTTTATGTGCTAAAAAATATATTTTAACCCAGGTGTGGTAATGCATGCCTATAATAACAGCATCTCAGGAGGCTGAGGAAGGAGGATCCCAAGTTCAAAGACAGCCTCAGCAGCATAGCAAGACCTTAAATAACCCTGACTCAAAATATAAAATAAAAAAAAAAGGTCTGAGGTTAAGTACCCCTGAGTTCAATCCCTGGAATAAATAAATAAATAAATAGTAATCTTAAAAAATTAATCCTTTAATTTATATGGCAATTTAAAATACACTAGAATGATATGTATAAGAAAGTGTTTATTTCTGTCCAGGATGCTCAGAAAAAGTCTCATGGAAGGAATGGCACTGGAACTATATGTACTTTTTTCCCTTTGGTCTCAGTAACAATCATACTTTCTTATTAGCCATAAAATAGTTATCTAAATGATCACTGGTGGACATGGTAGTCACCAATAACATGTGGCTAGTCAGCACTTGAGGTGTGACTGTTCTGATGTGAGATGTTTACTAGGTATAAAATATACATGCAGGTTGAAGACTTGAGTTTTTTACAAAGTAAAATATTGATAATTTTCATGGATTTATGTTAAGTGACAGTAGTTGGGAGATACTATATTTAAAAAAACACCAAAGGCTGAATGTTCTCTCTGATAAGTGGATGTTGACTCATAATAGGGAGCAGGGAGGCATGGGACAAATGGAGGAATTTTGATTGGGCAAAAGGGAGGGAGGGTAGGGAGAGTGCATGGGGCGGGGAATGATGGTGGAATGAGATGGACATCATTACCCTAGGTACATGTATGACTGCACATATGGTGTGATGCTAATAGAAAAGTAAAGTTGTGCTGCAATTGTGTACAATGAATCAAAATGCATTCTGCTGTCACATATACCTAATTAAAGTAAATAAATAAATTTTTAAAAATATATATTGACAGCATTTATTTCAACTGTTTTCTTTTACTTTTACTAAAGAACTTATTTGAAAATTTAAAATTAGACATGTTGTTCATATTGATGACTCACAATAAATTTAATTTAGATGGCTAATCTAAACAAAATGATTCAGAAATTCTGGAAAAATATGAATTGCTTATGGTCCTAAGGTATTCTCTAAATTTTTGTTGCCAATTGAAAATTTTAAAAATTCAAGAAAATGACTA